TCGAGACAAGACACACAACTTTCAATGAAAATTATCTGCCAATAAAAATTATGCTTCCTGTTGCTGTTATTTATGATGAAAAGTTTGACGTTTGAATATTTGCACTAAAATGAAATAATACTTGAATGAATTTCAACAAAATCAGTTGAATACATTTAAAGATAAAGATTTTATTGTCAAAGATTTTGTCAATTTGTTGACATGGTTACAATTTAATAAAATGAAAGAACTTATTTTGCCGGGTGTTTTTGCATGTCCGGACCCTCGTTTACTGGGCTCATTGGGTTAGTGGACCTCTTGCCAATTTAGTTAAGGACCCCTGCTTTAGAGCATGAAAAAATTCTCTTAAACAATAGTCTGAATAGAAAATGGTTTTTAGAAATGTGCTTATTAATTATAGATGTGGTTTAGCACTCAAATGGAATTAGAAATGGAATGTCAGACTTGCATCTTAACGTTAACAAAACAGTCTGTATGTTCTTTTCCAAGAAATCCAAAGCACAGGTGGCTGCGGTTTTTATTGAAGGAGAAAAACGTATGGTTGTGTCCGAATTTAAATAAATACCTCTGCATTATTTTAGATTTTAACTTCACTGTTAAAAAGCATGTTAAAAAGGAGGCTAATGCCGTCAGATATAATTTGGCTAACTTTACAAACATAAGGCCATACCTCACCACAGAGGCGGCCAAACTTTTTATGCATGCCATGATTTTTTCTCACATATCATACTGTATCACAAGCAGTGTTGGGAGTAACGCATTACAAAAGTAATACATTACAGTAACATATTACTTTTTGCTGTAACGCAGTAGTGTAAGGCATTACTAATCAATTTTCAGTAATATTTTACTCGTTACATGTTCAGTGAGGCTTGTATTACAGTTGTATTACAGTGTATTGTCTGCTTTTACTTCTTAAAGGCAACAGACTATGTGAAAGTTTTAAAGCAGTCTTTTAGTGCCAGTTCAGAGCGGTCGCGTCAGTAACATTGTTTTTTCCTCATTCATGCAAACACGAAAACTAAAATAAAATGAATATTTTAAGTTCTATGGAGACTGGAGAGCCAATCCTTCCTCATCCGATTTGCGCAGTGTAATTAACAGAATTACAAAAAATATATTTTGCCTCCAATTTTTTTGTCACGCATGAATGTGTGTCTTTTCCCTAATATTAAAAATAAAACATAGACTGATATTTGTCTAATGTCTGGAGTCCTTTAAGGAAGTAGCCTATATACGTTTCAATACATGTATTTTCTGAGAATTTTTATTTCAAGTTTTGACTGCAAATGTCATCATGTCCATAATGCTGGACTTCCCCAATTTTAAATAATTTATCCTCAACTAGTTTTGTGGTGTAGGTCTACGTATTTTAATGTTAACTTCAAATAATACTAATAGCCTAATTTAAAGATAAGGCAGCATTGGATCTGGACGGTAAGGAGAATAACGCTGGAGTTGGAAGAGGTTTGTCGCGATTCTGTAGGTTCGTTGATCGAGTCGTGTGGCGAATTGCGATTTCGGTTTCATATTGCATATCGTTACAGCCCAAAAGTTAAGTTCTACTTAGTTATTTTGGTGAAAGTAACTCAAAAGTAATACATGAGTAATGTAACGCATTACAATTCTGGGACAGTAATATTGTAAGGTAATGAATTACTTTTAAATAACAGTAACAAGTAATACCTAATGTATTACAGTTTGGAAGTAACTTGCACAACACTGATCACAAGCTGGTCACAAGCAAACATTTCAACTCTTAAACCAATAGAAACCCTTTATTAAAAAAACTTTAAAAATATTAGATCAAAATCAACTATCACCACTGCCATATCACTACTAAATACAAACTATTCAATTTTAACAGTTTCTTACATTATCTAGATGCCTGCCGCATTTTTAAAGTATTATTTGGGCTTGCACCTCCACCACTGGAGAATTTATACAACAGAAGAACAGCAGTGGCAGGGCAACCAGGGCAGCTACTACACTGTAAAAAATATTTTCAAGATTTGTTATCACAACATATTTTATTTTGTCAAATCAACTTTATAATAATTTATTTAGTTGAGATAACTTATTATTTTGAGTTTCTGATGGTTAAATTAATCTCCTTCATTATATTAACTCACTTTTTCCAGTTCAATCAAATTAAAATTTTAAGGCAACCCATGTTACTTACTTTTTTAAGTTAAACCAACAATTTTTTTTTTACAGTGTAGTAATCACAATATTTTTTCTTTTGTCAAATCAACTTAAATAATTTATTTAGTTCAGATAACATATAATTTTGAGTTCCTGATGGTTAAATTCATCTCCATTGTATTAACTCACTTTTTCCAGTTCAATGAACTTAAAATTTTAAGGCAACCCAGGTTACTTATTTTTTTAAGTTAAACCATCAGTATTTTTTTTACAGTGTAGGGGAGACATGTGTTGTACCGTTTAGACGTAGTACACTCTACAAAACTGGTTGTTTCAACCCAAATTTGGGTCAAATATGGACAAACCCAAATGTTGGGTTAAAATTTTAATTAAAAAATGTATAGTTGAAAGTGAAAGTTTTTAAATTACATATTTAAACCAACATTTGGGTTTGTCCATATTTGACCCAAGTTTGGGTTGAAACAACCCATCAGTTTTTAGAGTGTAAGTTTGGCCAAACTGTCTTAGTACAGGCCGCAAATTATTGGAACAGTCTTCCTAATGAACTAAGAGAAAGCACCAGCTATCTATCATTTAAATTAACATTAAAAATAATTAAAACTGCAATCACCAATAGTTGGTTTACCATATCCCACCCAGGCATTATTCTATTTGCTTCTTTCTCTTTTATCTCCTTTTTTTCTTCTATCTTAAAGGGGCTATGTGTAGGGTTTTACTTAAATAAATCTTTAAGATGGAGTTTTTATTTGTACATTTATGAGCCAACCATAATGTAATAGAAAGAATGACACCTTGACTGTCCACCACGGTTGCCTCTGTCAGCCTGTAGGGTCAATTGTTTGTCGAGGAGTCTGGTTCGAATTGGCGCGAAAATTCACAAAATGTGACGTCATGCGCATTCTCGTCTGGGCTTACATCCGTACGGCAGCCATTACTGCTAGCGATTGCCACTGCTTGTTTCAAATGGACTCTGCGGACGGAAAGAAGCGACCAGCCTACAGCACAATCCAGACACCCATGGAAACTCCTCGTAAAAAAAAAAAAAAAAACCTTGTCTAGTGCGGCCAAAATTGAGAGTTACCGGCGTCGGGCAAAGACAAGAGTCAACATCGGAGCGGCATTAGATTCTTGGAGGGATCTCTGGTCAGCGCTGGGTATATGATGAGCACTTTTGATGAGCCGTTTGTGGTTGCTGCGGCAACTCTGGTTGCTGTGGTCGTTCAGAACTTACGCAATGCTCCTTTAATTGTTTTATTTCTCATGTATTCTTTTTTTTATTGGCCTGCCAAGGGACTACAGATGAAAATTAGCTTTTCAGCTAACTTTGGTAAATTTACATTTTGATTGTAAACAAAAAAATATCAATTGACATCCCTTTTAAATAAATAATAAATAAAAAAAATATAATAAAATGAAAGAAGGTATGGCAGAGAGGCTGAAAGAGAGGAGAATCATCTAACATTTCGGTAAAAAAGATTAAAAAAATAAATAACTCAATGTTCTAGCAGAATCTGGGAATGTGTGGAGACTGAAGAGAGAAACTCACTATAACAACTGCATCTCAGTGAGTAAGAATGAACAGAATCATAAAACACGCACTGCTGCTCAATTTGCAGAGAAGCATTTCAGACAGTAGTGAGTTATTCAACCTTGTTACAAGTCAAGCTCGACACAACCGCTCTCAAATTAGTTACAGACACACGCAAGACATCCAGACACTTGTAAATGTGGAAGGGCCCACTTGCTTTTGTAGTTGAGAACTCTCTATGATATGTATTTCGTTTGGAAGTTCTGTTTGATGTGCAAAACTGGCTCTTGAGAATATTTAACACCAATAATAGGTTCACAAGACACAAAGAGATGAACTCCTGAACATTCCACAGCTTTAGAGTACCTGATGATAAAGGATTTTTTTTCAACAAACATCATTCAAAGTAGCACTGATATCAAAACCGATCCTGTTACAAAGATTAATGAAGTATGTCATTATAAATAAGCACATTTATGTCAGTACAATGCATAATCTGCATAATGGGTTGAGTGTCAGATCAAAGGATGTGTAAAAAGTTCCTCTGAAACATAAGTTAAAAGCAACAGTGAAATCAACGTTTAAGCTCAGATATATGCTGATAATGAGAGTGAAAATGGTCAGAATTAACCCAAATAAGCCATAATGTGAAATAATCTGATATGCTAGTTCTGCAGTTTTTGGGACCCTGTTTTTACATCATCAAAAAATTATTTTTGTATTATATCATGCAATACTGGGGCTGTTAGCGATTATTTTCAGATGTTTTGGCAACGACCATTTCAGTTCTTCGGAACTATAGCTAAAAAAAAAAAAATCACTTAATTTACAACAAAAAATTTTTAATGGCTTGACAATGCTTTAAAAATATTATTTTAATGTATGTATTTAATGCATCTATTAAAAAAGTTTCTTTGGAATAGGCTAATTAGCGTTGTAAAAAAAAAAATCACAAGCCCTAAAAACCTAACATGTTATATGAATATAACACACATCTGTCAGTGGTGTCCTGCATTGTGACTTCCTATAGCTAATTCATCAAAAACTCTATTCAACATTTTCTAATATTATTGTAGCCTATCACTCTGTGCATACAGATTGCAAGGGCTGTTAAAATGAAGAAAAATAAGATTTTCTCTACTAATCAAAAAACAGAAGAGTTGACGGTGCAACATAGCTGACATATGAACTCTGTGTAGATGCGGACTCCAATTTACTTTGCTCCTAAAACGTCACTCTCAATCGGTAGGCTTACTCGTGTCGTCTGGCGGCTTGATAAACTTGTATATTTATATTGACGGCTTACCTGCCTGTAAGGTCTATCCAGATGATTTGAATTGAGCAGGGCAGAAACTATGGAATCACTTGCAGCGAAAACCTTGAGTGTAAATTCGCATTCAATGCACTGTCTCTCTCTTCCAGTGGTCGATCGAAGAACGGGGCGCATGGAGGCGCACACAATGAATACGTCTACAAATGACTGTCTGGTTGATTATTTGCTCAGTGATCAGCGTGGTTTTCAATGCCCCGCTGAGTTTTCCCAATCACAGTTATCCCCGATCACAACTGCCGCAGAATCCGTACGCGCTGCCTTTTACATCGTCGCGCGCTCAGAGCCGCACGCAGGCACCCACAACGCGGCCACATAGTACCTGCTCCTCGCCTCCTGTTTTACACTGAATCAGGTCAGAGGAGTGTCCTGTCCTTTTGATGTTGTCAGGGGACCTGTCTGTCTCTTCTCTCGTACACGGCGCGTTTCTCACATCCCTGCGGTTCACAGCAACAGCAGCCGCGCGTCAGCTTGTGCTCCGAGTCCGCGCGCCGCCCGACAGCACTGCCTAGAGTTCTCACCCAGACACAGCATGACACACATTATTAAATAATACATCTTATGGTATGAATAAAACGCGAGTCGCGACTGCTCGAACTGTAAATTCTGCTCTTTTGTCGAAACTGTGACAGGAAATCTAAAATAGGCTACTTTTGACTGATTTAATTCACATATGGAAGACAGTAGGATGTGTAATTTCTGACTAATCATTTTAGTAACTGATTTATAAACTTAATGTTAAATTGACTTTTATTTTTGTATTAGGCTACTTATGTTTTTCATATATATATATATATATATATATATATATGAAGAGTTCAGATGCAAAAGCCTTGAAATTTTCTTCTTTATTGATGATTTTTTATCAAACTTGTATATTTAAGTTCAGTAATTTCACTTAAATGGCAATGATAATTACCTATTAATTGTTATTTAAGTGAAATTACTGAACCTAAATATACAAGTTTGATAAAAATCATCATTAAAGAAGAAAATTTTCTTTTCTTCTTTAATGACTGTAAAGTCAAAAAATTAGAATATCGTGCAAAAATTCATTTATTTCAGTAATTCAACTTAAAAGGTGAATCATAAGTCATTACATGCAAAGTGAGAGATTTCAAGCCTTTATTTGTCATAATTTTGATGATTATGGCATATAGCTAAAAACTTTTCACAATATTCTACTTTTGAATTTGGGGTAACAAAAATAAAGTATTATAACAGTATTTTTTTATTATAAAAAAAATATATTAACAAATAAAGGCTTGAAATATCTCACTTTGCATGTTATGAGTCTATATAACACATCAGTTTCACCTTTTAAGTTGAATTACTGAAATAAATGAACATTTGCACAATATTCAAATTTTTCGAGTCACCTGTATATGCAAATCTTCTAAAACAGCTATCCCAGCATGTAGTATTATGCAGCCAGTTCTGAGTTGATTAGCTACTTAGTGTTGTAAATTACTGAGTACAAATAATATGATACAAACTGTAGTTAGGAAATCTATAACATTAGGCCTACACCTTTTAGACAATATAATATGACTACTTTTAGATTAGGCTACTTATGACCTAATTTGATTATAATATTCAATTGAATAGTAGAATCTAGCCTACAATTTTGGTAAAAAAAAAAAACAAAGAGAAAGGAAAATTATTACATTTTTTATCAACTTCATTAAGTCCTACAAGTTAAGGCCTACATAGCCTACGTCAGCTGATCTGACACATCGCCAAATTGCTCGCCACTGTCTTCACTCCCACATAGTCGATACACATTAAGTCGATCCGCTTTTACATAAAGTTACAGAGTTCGTCGAGTTTTTCACACAGGTGTTCTTTCCGAGTGTTGCTGTTGCTCATGAGCTCAGTCGGTTTGAGCTGGCGGTGAACGAAGCTTCCACGGCCTTGTGATGTCAGATTCGTAGTTGAATCTTTTCAAGGCATCTCTTCTGAATTACTTGAACCAGTTTGAAATTCCGCCAAAATCTGAATACGTTCCAGTGGTTCTTCGCACATCCTAAACCACGACTTATTTAAGTTTATTCATGTATCAGATGCTTTTATAAATCGACGAATAAATGTGGCAGGCATCATCTACTCCCAGTGTCACTGAACAGTTTGTTTATACAATTATTTGACTATTTATAATTGCATGAATATGTGGAATTAGGCCTATTTATGATATTCCTTATCATTTAAACAGGGTTGCTCCTCCAGAACCGAGAACCTTTTGTTCTGATTCATAATAAGTTAATAACCAGTAAGTCAGCTGATAGTACTTGGAGTGAACCAAACATTTGAATGATGGGACGATATTAGCATGTACGTTTTTATACCGGTCTACCGATTGTTTCAAAGCAGCTTTACAGTGATCAACATGCATACGTACAGAGTTAATTTTGGCTGTAAAGCATCTCTAAAAAGAAGAACGTGTCACCGTTCAGCTGAAGTCAGCTCAGTTTTGCTGATTCAGTTCTGTTGCAAGACCATCAATTATTAAATTAGTTCAATTCAGCTATGAAGCAGCTCTGCAGAAAACAGTGACATCATCGCCCAGCTCAGTTCAGTTTTCATCCAATAGTGTCAGTGCAGTCAGATGAGTTATATTGTGTAATATTAAGCGTCTCAAACCAAACAAGCCAAAAGGCAACAGTGGCAAGGAACCCAAACCGCAGGTGATAGAACGGAGAAAAAGAAATCCTTGGGAGAAACCAGTCTTAGTGGGGGGGGGGGGGGGGGGGAGCAGTTCTCCTCTGGCCAAACGAAGCAACATGGAGTGGTTTAATTCCAGGCTGCATCACAAATCTGCAGTCAGAATGTGGTGGTCTTCTTTGTATCAGCATCTGATTGAGGATTCAAATTCACATGCTAAGTGTTCCCCTGCCAGCACATTGGAATTAATGAAACTTTATCGCTTCTGATCCAAAGCTGATCTCATCCTTCTGAAGACATTTCTTGCCCACATACCCCCGACTCAAAGGGGAATACAGAGAGTTCATGCCATAAGCCCTATTCATACCCTGGACTGAATAACGCTTCTGTCTGGTTGATCCATTTGTGTGTTGTGCTGTATGACTAATTTGGTGAGTGTCCATTTCTGACAATGATCAGATAATAATGGATTTCAACTGACAATAAACACAGATTGTCATTTTTTGAATGTAGTTTACATGTAAATCTTCCTGAAATACATGCATGCACATGCGTCTTTCAGTGATATCTGAAGTGGAATAATACTAAAAATGTTCTTACCAGTTGTTTATGTATCACCTAACGACTGAACAGCTATCCCTTCTTGTAAAGTGATGATTCATGCTGATCAGACATTTTGCTGACCCTCTGTACTGCTTCAGGACAGTAAAATGCAGTGTAGGGTACAGGGCTATTTTGGAGGATGAATAATCCTACTGCTAAGTGTAGAAGCAAAGCAAATTCACAATCAGGAAGGGGGTGGACTCGGAGAGAGGGTTAGAGGTTGGTTTCTTCTGGCTGTTGGGCCCCAGTGACTGTCAGGTCTAATCACTGTCCTGCACTTTTAATGGTCAGAAAAAAAGTGAACCCAACCTGCAGGCCAGAGATGGTGTCTCTCTGCTCTTCTAAAGTTAAAAAAATGAATCCTGGCCAGACAGAGGCCTTTCCCTCCCTCAAACCATGTTGAATACAGTCTAATTGTGGAGTCACTGGTTTGTCGATTGTTGTGGAATTTTTAGATTTTCATTGATTTTCAGTGGACATTATAAGGGAATATCATGTGGTTTTATTATTTGCAGTCTGATGTGAGGAGGAGGAACTTCTCTGTGATCTATGTATGTTTATACACCTGAAGTGCAGGAGCAAGACACTCTAGAACCAGATGGGCAACGACTTCTGACATCTGAGGTTTAGTGATAAATCAAAGCTAGAAGTGAAGGGCCTTTTGTCTGTGGAAAACTACTGGGAAGCTCTGCAGGGAAAAGGACCTTGAAAGAACAGTAAAAAATTTGCCCAAATCTGTCTCAGTGTCCCACTCACTCCACAGGGTCACTGCTGTGTTGGCTTCCTGCATTAATAAATACTTCTTCTTTTATAAATTTGATTCCGAGTCTCTTATGCAGTGATTTCTGCCAAAACACAATCTAACATGTAAAATGTGGAAATGTGGAACACGACGCATGCGCGAGAACTACATTATTTTTCTACGACTTCTAGTTCAGTTCCCGTGCATGCGTCGTGGAAATCTCTCGAACTCTCGTCTCAGGCCCAGAAGGATGAAAAGGAATAGTCGAATAAAGTCGTTATGTTTTTTTCGCACAAAAAGTATTCTCATCGCTTGATAAACTTATACTTGAGCCACTGTAGTCACATGGAATATTTAAATATTTTCTTCAATGACTTTCTGGGCCGTCAAGTTTCGATCCCTTAAGCCCCGTCTGCGTTTTCGTTTAAAAACGGAGACCTTTTGCTACGTCCAGAGTAAAACGGGAAAAACGAAGACCTAAAACGGAGAAGTTTAGAAACGCTGCAGCTCCGTTTTGCGTTTTGAATCTCCGGAGGGCGTTTTAGTGTAGACGAGACAAAACGGAGGACTTCAGAAACGCTGACGCAGAGGCTCTATGATTGGGTGTTATCAGTCATGACGTGTCCTTCCCTGATTCGTCAATCACTGTTTACATCGGCACACGCATGCCCAGTGTTGGTGAATGGTCACGTGATCTGTGTTTTCAGTCGCTTTAATGTGGACGGAGATCATTTCTAATACTCAGATAAAACGCTGGTGTGTGGATGGAAATCGTATTCGTTTTAATTCGTTTATAAACGAAAACGCAGTAGTGTGGACGGGGCCTTAGGCAGCCTATGTAGCAGTGATCCACCTCTCAAATTTAATCAAAAATATCTTCATTTGTGTTCTGAAGATGAACGAAGGTCTTGCGGGGTTGGTACAGAGTAATTAATGACTCAATTTGGATTTTTGGGTGAACTAACCCTTTAGGGCCGGTTCACATATCGCGTCTTTTGCGCGCTCAAGTTCGTTATTTCAAATGTAGGCGCGCGGTATGCGCGCTCATAATGGAAGCGGTGCGGTCGCGGTGCGACGCGCTCCTTTTTTCCATGCGTGTCCGCGCCGCGTCGAGATAAAAACATCTCAACTTTTCAGAATACCGCAAGCGCACCGTACGCACACAATAGGTCATGTGACAAGAACCAACTGAAGCGCAACCGCCCTGGCGCTTTGCAAAATAGAGAATGCGGCGCGCCCAGCGTTTTCTACGCGTTTTTAGGCGCTATATGTGAATCCGGCCTTAAAGGGGCACTTGGCAACTATAGTCATTTCTTCGCTGATTTTCACTTTTGTTGTCGCATGTTTTCTCATCGAGCTCCCCCTACAGCTGTGCGCGTATATCACTCACTTGCGGCACCTTCCTCCTGCTTTCTACCGCTTCCCCTTAAATAAAAAAAGAAAGATATTTTTGTACATTTTGGCAATAACAATCAACATTTATTACAGCTAGA